ACCTAACCTTTGCTAACTCTACTAAGTACAGGAAATTGAACAAACTTTGTTTTTATTTATAGAACGCAATTAACAATGACGTAAGGAGAAGAAAATAACACGCACGCTTGCAGCAGCAGCAGCAGCAGCAACAGCGCGGGCAGCATCAGCAACTATTGTTTATTTTTATTCATTCTAAGATTTCAGCTCCCTCTGCTCTCACAGTAGAGTACCGTGCAATCGCGCGATGGTGGTGGTATTTGAGAGGGTGAGGGGTGTTGTATGTGTCAAAGCCCGTCAAAGGTAAATCAAAGAAACGAGAGAGAGAGAAAAAAAACAATAGTGTGGGGGTTGAGAACAGTTCGAATTCAAGGCGCAGAAAACAGGAAGGAAGAATAGGGGCTAAAAGCAAAACTAAAAAGGTTCAGTAATTATCAGTTGAGCTTTTCGTTTAGGTCCTGATGTTCAAAATTTAGAGCAAGCCGTTCGCCGATTGGTGTGGGCCGATTCGGAATGGATCGCGTCCGTTTGTTTCATGTGTGGGTTGGTGTTAGTGACATGTAAGAGATAGAGAAAAGAGAGAAGAGAGTGGAGAGAGAGAGAAAACGAAATTTGGGTATGGATGCTATTCTATTGGATTCGATCGGGAAAATTGAAAAAAAGGCAGAAAACATTCGAAACGCTTATGCTGTTAACTATATTGGCTACGGGCTACTGCAAGCGAGAGAATGATGGCAAAGCTGGCGAGGAATCGTGGCACACGGCCAATCAGAATAACTCAGAGAGTGAGAGAGTAACTTCTACTCAGTTGTATGGAGATATTTCTAAAAACAGTGCTGAGTTCCTGCAGATTATCGGGCGTCCAAGGTTTATAGAAAGTAGAAATTGAGCAAAGGGCAATTTTGAGGAAAGTACGAATCTGAACCAGCATTCCCTTTACCAAACTCATTCGTTTATGAGGGGTGGTGAGGGGTGTTTCCCCCCGCCACCACAGGCAAAAGGAATGATCACCTTGCACTAATGCTTAGGTATTTGTTCCATCACTGGATTGCGCTATACCAAACGGCTACGTTTTCTACGGCCTCAAAAGGGCTAATGCAAATAGTTCCCACTGACATTTTGCACGGTCAATGAGAAAACTCAGAGAGAGAGAGCGAGAGAGATAGTCACTTCTACTCAGTTGTATGGAGATATTTCTAAAAACTGCAGGAACTAAGCGCTGTTTTTATAAATATCTCCATACAACTGAGTAGAAGTGACTCTCTCTCTCTCTCTGAGTTATTCTCATTGACCGTGCAAAATGTCAGTGTGGCTGTAGAAAACGTAACCGTTTGGTATAGCGCAATCCAGTGATGGAACAAATTCCTAAGCATTAGTGCAAGGTGATCATTCCTTTTGCCTGTGGTGGCGGGGCGAAACACCCCTCACCACCCCTCATAAACGAATGAGTTTGGTAAAGGGAATGCTGGTTCAGATTCGTACTTTCCTCAAAATTGCCCTTTGCTCAATTTCTACTTTCTATAAACCTTGGACGCCCGATAATCTTAACACTTTGGTTTGAACCCCTCTAATCTGCACGCCGTGCAAACTAAAAATTGCTCAAAAATCAGTTTCCGCATGGAACGGAGTAAAGTGAAAAGGAACGATCCGTAACGGAAAGCAGAATCAAAACAAAATACCAAATAAGGCTACCAGAAACACGCTTTTCTGATGCTCATAGGATTATTAGTAGTTCAAATTAAAAATGAACCCGAAGAAACGAGCTCAACCTTTTGGCTAAGCTCTGGTACTCTCTTCGGTCCCAAGCTAATCGATGCACCCCTCGAAACATAGGAAAATCCACGAACCCCTCATTTTATCTGTCAAACTTGCATAGCGAATCAAAGCAAACATAGTGTAGAACTAGAATTTCGACAACATGGTTTGCTTGGGACCAATAGGCTAGTCAAGTAGTGAGCCAATTTAAAATCGTTAGTACATTAATGGTTTGCTTGGGACCAATAGGCTAGTCAAGTAGTGAGCCAATTTGAAATCGTTAGTTTCGAATTTTTTTTTTTTTTTTTTTTTTTTTTTTTCTTTATTAGAGTGACTTTCAGCCACTGGCTGGTTCGTCACTTTAGTTTCGAATTGATTGTTGGTACAATTATCCAACTGCCGTACTATAACGGAACTATCAATTCTATACCTTCATCTCCTCATCTAGAGAGGGTCTAGCATAAGAGAGGAGCAGATTCAGCTGCCTTGGCAACCTATGCCTAGGTGATTTCTAGCAACACTGCCAATGCAATCAAGATAGGCGCTGCTAGATTGGCTCTGGCTTTGACAGTTCTTTTGGCTTCGCCAAACTATCAGGAATCGCGGAGTACAGCGAAAGTTTCCAACGACGAGTCGGTCCTTCGCTGTCCTCGGTGCCCACTTTCGGAATTCCCACAGACAACGACGACCTACCGATCAACCAACCATTCTCCTGGGACGAATTCTCGTTCGCTCTTAGCCTGAGCAACGGAAACTCGGCCGGACCGGATGAAATCGGATACCCACTGCTGAAGCATCTACCGCTCGAAGGGAAAACACAATTGCTCGAACTCTACAACCAGCTATGGACCAACGAAGAATACCCGGACAAATGGAGGGAAAGTCTCGTGATCCCGATCCCCAAAACAAATATAGGGACCAAGGACGTCACAGGATTCCGCCCCATCGCGCTGACCTGCTGCATGGCCAAAGTCTTGGAGCGGATGGTCAACAGAAGGCTCAAGCAATACCTGGAGTCTAAGGGACTGCTTGACCATCGACAGCACGCCTTCAGGCAAGGGTACGGTACCTCCACCTACTTCGCCACTCTTGGAGAAGTCCTGAAGGAGGCACAGGACCAAGGCCATCATACGGAGATCGTCTCGCTGGACATCTCCAAAGCATTCAACAGAACGTGGACACCAGCAGTAATGAAGAAGTTAGCCGAATGGCGACTAAAAGGACGCATCCTACACTTCGTCCGAAACTTTCTGACCGACCGATCTTTTCGGGTGTCGGTCGGAAACGTCCAATCCAGAAGGTTCAGCGAAGAAACCGGAGTACCACAGGGTTCGGTGATCGCGGTCACTCTCTTCCTGGTGGCCATGAACGGGGTCTTCGACAAGCTACCCAAGAACATATATATTTTCGTCTACGCGAATGACGTCCTCATTGTAACGGTGGGCCCCACCCTGCAGAGGACGAAATTAAGGGCGCAAGCGGCAGTCTCCTCGGTGGTCAGATGGGCTGACTCCGTTGGGTTCCAGCTTTCCGCCGGCAAGAGCGTGCGCTGCCATATATGCACCACCCGGCATCGGAACAGCGGACAGCTCATCATGATCAAACAGCAAGCGATACCGACCAAAAACACAATAAGGGTCCTGGGAGTGCTCCTCGATCGGAACCTATCCCTCGAGCCGCACTTCCAACAGGTGAAGAAGGACTGTCGTAGTCGATCCAACCTGATGAAGACCATCTCCCGCCCCCACCGATCCAACAACCGTGAAATCCGCTTCCGAGTAGCCCGAGCTATCATCGACAGTCGCCTATTGTACGGCGTAGAACTAACGTGCCTTGCCGCCGAGAAAGCCCTCCAAATCTTGGAACCGGTCTACAACGGATACGTAAGAACAGTCTCCGGTCTCCTGCCCTCCACCCCGGCCGACGCCGCGTGCGTTGAAGCCGGTATTCTGCCTTTTCGGCTCGTCTACACCGCAGCTACCGCTACCAAAGCCGCTGCCTTCCTCGCTAAAACGTCGGGAAACAGCAGGATCTTTCTCCTCGACGAGGCGAACCGACTCCTCCGCACGGTCGCCGACGTAGATCTCCCTCCAGTGGCCAGGGTCCACTGGCACGGAGACAAAAGTTGGCAATCACATCAGAGCAGAATCGACAGCCGAATCAAGGACCGCTTCAGGGCAGGAGACAACTCACTGGCTTTGCGCCGGACAGTCGTCGAAACTCTCGGGGCGCACTATCAAGATCACGAAATCAGGTACACCGATGGCTCGCTCTCCAGCAGCGGAGTGGGAATGGGGGTTTCAGGAGATAGTTTGGTCGTCAGCAATTCACTTCCGGCCCAGTGCTCGGTGTTTTCCGCTGAGGCAGCGGCCGTCTTTCACGCAACCACCCTTCCGGCCAATCGGCCGATCCTCATCGTTACCGACTCACAAAGCGCAATAATGGCCCTAACCGATGAAGCACCAAAGTATCCGTGGATACAAGGGACGGTAACGCATGCGCCGCCCAACACCGTATACATGTGGGTACCCGGGCACTGTGGCATCCAGGGGAACGTGATCGCCGACCACCTCGCCGGCTCAGGCTTAATCGGACCCAGGTTCTCTGACAATGTTCCGGTCCAGGACATCAAGAAATGGATCGAGCGGACGGTTCGAAGAGCGTGGGACAACGAGTGGAGGAACAATCGAACTCACCAACTACGAAAAATCAAGGCGACCACCGATCCCTGGAAGGATCGACCGAGCTTCAAGGAGCAGCAAGTGGTGTCCAGGCTGCGCACCGGGGATAGCAGGGCCTCCCATAATTTCGGAGGAACACCGTTCCGGAGAACCTGCGAAACCTGCGGAGTGCCAGCCTCCGTAGAACACATCCTCATCAACTGTGTGGAGCTCGAGGACCTTCGGGTTGCCTTCGGTCTGGATAGAACCAGCATACGAAGTCTGCTTGGTGACGAGTCCCCGGCAGCAGACGCCCTCATCGCCTTCCTGAAGGAGGCGAATCTTTTTTACAACATTTGAGTATTTTCTGTTTGTGCTTTTGAATTCGTTGGCCCTTTTGGTAGTGTTTTTACAATATTTTATATAATTAAGCTAAATGCCCACTTGCCAAGATTGGGATCCTCCTTTTGAGGACCCAATTCTTTTTTGTAATTTTTAAAAGAGATGAACTAGCCTTAGGCTAAAAATCTCTCTAATAAAGGAAAAAAAAAAAAAAAAAGTTCTTTTGGCTCAAAACCAGCGGTTCGCGGTTCTACCTGGCTCATAGCGACGAGTTGCCAGTCTTCTGGATGTGTTGTCTTCGCTTTAAGTCTGATATTGAAGTTAAGCATCTTCAACCATGTAATTTTCTTATTTATTAATTTTCTCACACCCGAAAATGCTTTAGATAACAGATTTTCAGTGTAAAACCTTCAAGAATTTCGTGGGTGACCAGAATATGAAATAATGCTATATTTAATATTATACGCGAAAGGCACTTGTCACCGGTAGGTGGATTAATTAATTAATTAATTTAGCTTTATTTAGGAGGCTTTCAGCCTTAGGCTGGTTCGCCTCCGGAGGTGGATTAATCAAGATTTGATCACAAATATTTTTTTTATCATATCTCCGGAACCAACCGTCCGATCGGAATGAAATTCAATAGCGTTAGTAGATAGATACAAACAAAATGAAACCGATTGCACTCAAATCGGTCCAGCCATCGGCGAGTTAAGAGAATGAGTATTACCACAGAGAACAGACGCTCAACTTCAGCCAGAAACTTGTGTAAACTTTTATAAAGATAAGTGTTGTTACGTAGAGCTGGTAGGTGGCTATAAATTTGCCACCAATAACCAATTTCACGCTAGTGTCGATCAATTAGATCAATTTTCTGTTGATAATTGCCACTAGGAGCTAACTGCACTTAGTGCCTAGTGTAATTTGGGCAACGCCAGCGACATCATATTGTCAAAAAGGGTTTGTAAGGTGGCGCTTAAATGCAATCGAATACAACATATCAAGAAGACTGACAACTCTTCCATTTTCTCAAACGACCGGTATGAGACAGGCACAATCGCGTCATCTGCCGCTCAAAGGTAAATGCTCCGAACGAATTGGATAGCAAAGGTTCCATCCTCAGAAGAAAGGTTTGTGTATTTGCTCATGTTTCTATGCGTTACTTCACTCGAGCGCAGCGCTGCTGTGTCTGTCGCTCGGATTCAGGCAAAGTTACCAGTCTTCTTGATATGTTGTCTTCGGTGCAATTCACAGTGGTCCAGGAATGCAATCTAGCAGAACAAAATTAATAACTCCAAAACGAGTAATTTTAGTGACGTTCCCTGAAGAAGGCCAAGTCCAAAGACGTCGGACAAACGTGGTTTGATCCACCGTTCATTGAAAAGCAATGCGCTTTCATTTTGAAATCCCCGGTTTTCCGGTTTAATCGCAAAAAATCCCGGTTGTTAATATTTATCAAAAAACGACATTGTGGAAATGTTTGCAGTATCACGTTATTTAACAGATAGGGGAAATGACGGCTTCGGTGCTTCTTTACCTATTATCGTCAGGGAGTAGATGAAGTCTGAAGAGCCACCCACATTAGAGCCGGATCTGACGCGTTGCGGCAAAGTAACAGCTAAATCTATTGTCTACCTGTCAAATTTACGTCAATGCAACGCAAACGGATCTAAAGGGCCACCCACATTAGATCCGATTGCGTTGCGTTGACGTAAATTTGACAGCTAAACACTTGCCGAAACGCGTCCGATCCGGATCTAATGTGCCTTAATGCATAGTCGCTATATTAATAGTCTGGCGGATAGAATTTCGATCTATCAAAAAGCGGAACCAATTCAATAATTTGTAGACCAACAAAACGTTGGTTATTCTTTCCTCGCCAATCGAACGCAAATTACCAGCATCATCGGATAGAGGAAACTTTCCCCAACCCAAAGATGGTGTTAGTTTGTGTAGATGAGCCTTGAGTCACGAGAAAAAGGTTTCCGAAGTTTTGTTCGCAATAGCTGATGTGCTCTTTTCTGTTGTTGGCCGTGATTTGCTCGATTGGTTCCACTATTTGACAGCTCAATTGGTTCCCGAGATTCTATCCGCCAGACTATGAATATAGCGACTATAATCTAATGTGGGTGGCTCTTTTAGAGTGTTCATTTCTACAATACTACAATCGTTGTTGTTATTCACATCGTCGTGATTTTGCTCTGTTAAATTTGATGATTTTTTATCACACGGGCTATCGTTCTTCGTTTTTCCCGTTCTGTAGGCTCGCAAAATTGTACCGGTTGTTAGTGGAAAGTGCAGTTCGTTGCGATAATCGTCTATTTGGAGCTAATTTTGTGTTGTGAAAACAGTGAAAAAGTTATCTAATCGGACATCTTGTAGTGTTTACTGTTGTGTGTTATTGTCGATATCAGATGCTCTGCAGAATCCAACTCCTCCTTGCGTATTAGAGCATCTCCACCGCTGTTTCGAAATTAGATTTGGAAACTGAGTCAATGCCTGTGACCCATGCGCTAAACCAGTTAAAGGCGATGAAGAATCCGTCACCTGCATGGCTTTTTGCGACAGGATGATTCACCTGAAATGTGGCGGCACAAAGTTGAACAAGGCTTTTCTGAATATTGTCCACACTAGCCCGAACTTGTTTTGGATGTGCAACGAGTGCACGAAGCTGATGAAATGTGCCTGGTTTAAAACTTCTGTTTCGTCGTTTGGTAATGCCATTAATTCTATCACCGAGAAAAAGGAAATCACACACGCTGAACTTGGGAAGGAAATGACCAAGCAAGGACAGCAGATCGCTCACCTGTCGAAACGAATCGCATTGACAGCTCCAACACACTTGAGTTCCGGCGATCTTATGCGTCAACCGCCATTAAAACGGCGCCGCGATGAAGGCTCGTTCACCAACAAACCACTTGTTGGTGGTACTAAAGCAGTAACGGATGACAATGTCGAGGTCCTTACTGTCCCAGAACCCACCGAGTTGTTTTGGTTGTACCTTTCTCGTATACATCCTAGCGTGAATTTGGAATCAATCGAGAAGCTGGTCAAAGGTTGTGTACAGTGCGATGATCCGATTAAGGTTGTGCCGCTAGTTAAAAAAAGATCCGACATCAGCCGTATGAGTTACATATCGTACAAAGTCGGATTGGCTCCCAAACTACGTGAAGTGGCTGTTACATCGAATACATGGCCGAAAGGAATTTTGTTCCGTGAATTTGAAGACGGTTCAAAAAACATGTGGATGCCTCGTTTGAACACGCCTGCCATCACGATCTCTCCTGTTCCGGGGCCTTCCGAGTTTTCAACTCCCATCTTCGGACTAGAACCAGTATGGTGATTCAGAATTGGATGCCGCGTTGTGAATTGGAACGCTGTAAATCAAACGCACTGCCTGTCGCATTATGTTTCCCGCCATCAAAGTCGTTCCATTTCCTGCCATGAGAGTCGTTCTGGACCTACGGTTGAGTTTGGTGGTGGGGTCTCCCAACCATCGTCTTCAGGCAAGTATGCATACATTAGCTACAGTAATTTTGCTGATCAGCTTCCGTGTTCGAGTGCAACGCCTCAAGCATCTGCCGGTTGTTTCCAGTTGAGAAGCTCTTCTGATACTGCTCATTCACAACATCCGCTTTACTGTTCGGGCAATCCTAATTCATCTCCGGGACGCACAATAGACCGCTTTTTGGAAGCTCCTGGTTCCTCCAGCCCAGTCGTGCCGATTCCAGCCAGCGTTCAGCATAGCCGTCTTGGACCTGTGGCTGGATATGAGTCAGGAGTCTTCCACCTTGCCTCTAGAGGCAAGTACAATCAATATATTGACTGTTCACTGTCTGATGCCGATCAAATTTTCAGCAATTCGGACTATGTTAGTCATTGTGATGATGCCTGTGTAACTCCCAATTCTGGGAACCCAGAACGCACCGTAGAAAGCCCCATGGAAGACCCCAATCCCTTCGTCTCAGTTCTGCCATCAGCAGCCTTCGTTCATCATAGTCGTTCCGGCCCTCCTTTCGGATGTGGAGAGGGGTTCTTCCAACCCACTCACTATGGCGAGTATTCAATCAGACTTGATGATGGTCAGTTATTGCCTGATGTATCTGTGATTTCCAGGGAGAGCAGTCGTTCGATTCCTTGCCGCAAGCAGGACGTCGTGATCTTCTACCAAAACGCCGGTGGAATGAATTCTGATGTTGAAAAGTACCGCCTAGCTGTATAGGATTGTTGTTACGATGTAATTGTCCTTGATTATCGAACGCTTTCCAGTCAAGTCTTCGGTCCTGACTATGAGGTCTTTAGTTGCGATCGGAATCCTAACAATAGCCGTAAATCTACTGGTGGGGGTGTCCTTGTAGCTATCCGTCGCGGATTGGAGGCAAAGGCCATCGAGAACGATTCGTGGAACTATGCGGAGCAGGTTTGGACAGGTATTTCTATGCGCTCTGATCGAGTCCGGGACAATGAACTCATCGATACTCACTGTGGGTCAGTTTTCACAGTTATCGAAAGTGCCACTCCAGTTGATGAGGTATTCATTTTGGGTGACTTGGGTGACTTCATCTCATAGCGGATTCCTGTATCCAGATCCTGATAGGTCTACCTTTCACGCAGGAGCTATTAGCCTTCTCGACAACTACAGCACACTACTTGTGCACTAACTAAGCTAGAGCAGCATCACCTTCCTCTAATTGTCACTGTTGAGGACAAACTCGTGCGTGATATCGACGATTATCCTGCTAAGGTTTCTTAAGACTTCCGTAAAGCTGACCACCGTAGCATCATAGATGTATTGTCTAGCATGGTGAATGCTTTTCAAGTTTCCAACGAGGTCTACTACGTGAACTACGTGAACGACCAACGCAGGGAATCCATCGTCTATGGGATTCAACGGTGAAGTTGCTGACACCGTTAAGGATATATGCCGCCTTTTTCCGACAAGTTTGCCAGTGTATTCACTAATGAGATACTAACTGACGACCATATTAACCAGGCTGCCAGGAACGTTCCAATAAATGATCAAACGCTGGATGCAATTGATGTTAAATGCTGAGATGATTTCTAAGGCCGCGACTCTGCTCAAGTCATCCTTCAATCCTGGACCTGATGGAGTTCCATCTGTATTTTTGAAGAGACATATTGCTAGCTTGTTAATTCCGCTTCATCGCCTGTTCCGCATGCCTCTCTCCAGTGGCCTATTTCCATCCTGCTGGAAATTTGCGCACATGTTTCCCGTCCACAAAAAAAGGAAGGAAACGAGCTGTGGATAACTATAGAGGAATTACATCGTTAAGTGCCGTTTCGAAGCTATTCGAGCTAGTGATTATGTGATGGAGAAGTAACCGATGAATTAGCTACAAGCTGTAGCATGCCATGATAATATGTAGTAACGAATAAATTTAGTTTTTCAATTCATCAATCACACCAAGCAGACCTATTAACCTCAATTGTCCCATTAGGTTATGGGTCCAGACAGTTGCTATAGAAACGGCTCTGTTTGGTGAAGAAGAAAAAATTTCCAATTAGAAGCAAGAAATTTTTGAAGATAATTGATGGCGGAGGCTTCGAGATAACCGAAGAGCCCCGGCTAACGGACGAATGCCAGGAAGTTCAGTTTCGTTGCCGGTTAGAGAGATTCTAGGCGACGCGGAGAACTACAGCTCCTGGTCCTTAGCGACCAAGATGATCCTGATCAAGGAACGAACGTGGTGCGCAGTGAAGGACCAGCAGGAGGGCGATCCGGAGGTTAGTGAAGATGTTTCCGAGCAAGCTTTGGCCACGATATGCTTGAGCATCGATCCCAAGATTTATGGGCTGGTGCGCAACGAAAAATCCGCGAAAGAGGCTTGGGACAGTCTGCGGAATACGTACGAGCACAGTGGTTCCACCAGGAAAATTGGACTGCTGAGAAGGCATACGGGGATCCGGCTGGTTGGTGCTGAACGCGATGAGGACATCATGTGCCAAACGACGCAGGAGTACGTGAACGAACTTTTTACGACAAGTCACCAGCTATCGGAGGTCGGTTTCGAAGTCGACGATACTTGGCTGACGAGTCAGCTGATGAAGGGTCTACCGAAGCAGTACGAACCGATGATCCTGGGATTGGAGTCGTCGGGTTTGAAGCTTACGGCGGACGTTGTCAAGATGTGAAGATCAGCAAGACGCCAAGCGAAGATGGAGCATTCCACACAAAAACGGAACAGTAGAAACCTACCGATCAATCGAGCGTGAAGTGCTTTCGGGGCAAGAAGTTGGGACACTATGCGTCGCAATGCCAGAATAAAGCCAGTTAAAGGAAGGAAACCCGTTGGAAACATAGTGGCCATGTTGCATTTTTCTCGGCGTTTAATACGGTCGACCAAGGACGATGTTGACTGGATTTTTGATTCCGGAGCTACAACACATCTGTGCCGGAACAAGGACCATCTGAAGGCTGCAGAGGATGTGTCAGCAAGCATCAACGTTGCGAATGGCACTGCAGCTGCTGTTGTTGCCAAGGGCGCCGTCAATTTGGAAGCAGACATTGGAGGTACGTCTTGTGAAATCACAATTAGTAATGTTCTGCGCGTTCCAGATTTGGGTATCAGGTCATGTTCGACAAAGACTCTTTTTAAGTTGTCAGCACTACGAACGAAGTTGTGGCGATCGGACAGTATTCGGATGGACTCTACAAGTTGGCGTTGGCTAAAAGTTCATCAGTTCACTTGGCTCGAGGGCAGAACAGCTTCCAACTATGGCATCAGCGGATGGGGCACCTATCGGCTGGCTGCATGAGGAGACTCAGAAGTATGGTAACTGGAATGGAGTTTGAGGATACAAATTCCTTTCAATGTGTGCCGTGTATCCAAGGCAAGCACCAACGACAGGCGAAGGGTCACAGGACTGAACTGGGATACAAACCAGTGGGCGAGAGTACTATTTACAGACGAGTCCAAATTCGACCTATTGGGCAATAAACGGCGAGTCTTGTCGGTGAAAGAATGAACCCTAGTTGCATAGTACCTACCGTAAAACACGGAGAAGGATCGGTGTTGGTTTGGGGTTCATTTGCAAGAAGCGGTGTTGGGGATTTAATTCGAATCAGCGGAATTCTCAATAAAGAAGGATACCTCAACATACTGCAGCAAAATGCAATTCCAAGCGGAAAACGGCTTGTTGGACGGGGCTTTATCCTTCAACAAGATAATGACCCCAAACACTCGTCAAAGCTCTGTCGGGGATTAAACGAAGAGGAACAAAAAGGAGAATTGGTCAACATGGTTTGGCCAGCGCAATCGCCTGATCTAAATCCCATCGAGTTTCTCTGGGATGAGCTGGATCGGGCCACTCGAAAAATTAGACCACAAAATCATGAACATCTTTGGGAATGCCAAAAGCGGTGTTGGCAACAAATAGATGATGATGCTATAAGAAAATTGATCGAGCGGATGCCTAGGGTGTGCAAGACGGTGATAAATATGAATGGAGCATATTTCGAGGAATCTAAAATCTGATTGGTTCAAATAAAAATGGTTTAAACGATCCTAGAGTAAATTTAAGCTGTACAAGAAACTTGTATTCTGATTGAATCCGAAATAATTTTTAACTTTTTTAGAATTATTTAGCATTTCGGTATTTCCTAATTTTCTGAAGTGAAGTGGTTTTTTTTATTTCGCTTATTCACTTCCAAATCAGTACTACAGATCTCCATTTTACATATTGGCTTTAAAATCAATATATTTCCCCGTGATTCTTTACTTCTCCCGAGTCATTCAGTGTTTTTCAAATATTTCGTCATCAAATTTCATACATTCCTGAAGTGATTCTGTACACAACAAATTGAATTTAAAATTTCCTCAACTGATCCAGTGCATAAAAAAGAAATTGGGAAATTGGGCTCTTATACACATCGACTTAAGTGATTCCAAACTTTTCAGGTCTGATTCACATCAAATTCAAGTGATTCCAAACTTTTCAGGTTTGATTCACATCAAATTCAAGTGATTTCAAACTTTTCAGGTTTGATTCACATCAAATTCAAGTGATTTCAAACTTTTCAGCTCTGATTCACATCAAATTCAAGTGATTTCAAACTTTTCAGGTCTGATTCACATCAAATTCAAGTGATTCCAAACTTTTCAGGTTTGATTCACATCAAATTCAAGTGATTTCAAACTTTTCAGCTCTGATTCACATCAAATTCAAGTGATTCCAAACTTTTCAGGTCTGATTCACATCAAATTCAAGTGATTCCAAACTTTTCAGGTATGATTCACATCAAATTCAAGTGATTCCAAACTTTTCAGGTCTGATTCACATCAAATTCAAGTGATTCCAAACTTTTCAGGTATGATTCACATCAAATTCAAGTGATTCCAAACTTTTCAGGTATGATTCACATCAAATTCAAGTGATCCCAAACTTTTCAGGTCTGATTCACATAAAATTCAACTGATTCCAAACTTTTCAGGTCTGATTCACATCAAATTCATGTGATTCTAAACTTTTCAGTTCTGATTCACATCAAATTCAAGTGATTCCAAACTTTTAAGCTCTGATTCACATCCAATTCAAGTGATTTCAAACTTTTCAGGTCTGATTCACATCCAATTCAAGTGATTTCGAACTTTTCAGGTCTGATTCACATCCAATTCAAGTGATTTCGAACTTTTCAGGTTTGATTCACATCAAATTCAAGTGATTTCAAACTTTTCAGGTCTAATTCACATCAATTTCATGTGATTCTAAACTTTTCAGGTCTGATTCACATCAAATTCAAGTGATTCCAAACTTTTCAGCTCTGATTCACATCCAATTCAAGTGATTCCAAACTTTTCAGGTTTGATTCACATCAAATTCAAGTGATTTCAAACTTTTCAGGTTTGATTCACATCAAATTCAAGTGATTTCAAACTTTTCAGCTCTGATTCACATCAAATTCAAGTGATTTCAAACTTTTCAGGTCTGATTCACATCAAATTCAAGTGATTCCAAACTTTTCAGGTATGATTCACATCAAATTCAAGTGATTCCAAACTTTTCAGGTATGATTCACATCAAATTCAAGTGATTCCAAACTTTTCAGGTCTGATTCACATAAAATTCAACTGATTCCAAACTTTTCAGGTCTGATTCACATCAAATTCATGTGATTCTAAACTTTTCAGTTCTGATTCACATCAAATTCAAGTGATTCCAAACTTTTCAGCTCTGATTCACATCCAATTCAAGTGATTTCAAACTTTTCAGGTCTGATTCACATCCAATTCAAGTGATTTCGAACTTTTCAGGTTTGATTCACATCAAATTCAAGTGATTCCAAACTTTTCAGCTCTGATTCACATCCAATTCAAGTGATTCCAAACTTTTCAGGTCTGATTCACATCCAATTCACGTGATTCTAAACTTTTCAGGTCTGATTCACATCCAATTCAAGTGATTTCAAACTTTTCAGGTCTGATTCACATCAAATTCATGTGATTCTAAACTTTTCAGTTCTGATTCACTTCAAATTCACATCATAGCAAAATTTTGTGTATAGAATCGCAACGACTTCACGAGATTCTAAACTTTTCAGGTCTGATTCTCCGTGGAGCGATATTATTCTTATGGCGGGTAAAATATGTTTAATGATTTACTATTTTTCATAGTGATTTCAAACTTATCTACTAAGGATCAATAAATTTGAAATGATTTCTAGCTCGAAATGATTCAGTACTATCCATAGTGATATCTAACTTCTCTACCGAGAGCCATCACTTTCTGCAAAACTTTCCTAGTCTAATTAAGAGCTTTCTGAATGTTTACCACAATAATTTAACAGTGATACAGTGAATTTATTCAAATTTTAGTGAAAATATAAACTTTTCTTGGGTGGTGCTAAACTTTTTCAGGTGATGCAATATTCAAATGAGTGTTGCAATACTTTTCCACGCGAGTCGTCACTTATCACGGGTAGTGTAAGTCGAAACGACTTTTTCATACTAGCGTTCATACGAAAAACGCTTAGTTTCGACATCCATAACAAGGCTGCTGAAAAAATCGGCCCAAAGAGAAATGCTTAAATTTCAAACATAGAGAACATATCAAAATTCTGATATTTCAAAACCCGGACCTTAATACAAACCAATACCCTGAACCAAGGAACAATTTCAAGCCTCCGCAAATGCAGGTAAATGCTAAAGAATTCTCTAAAGCACTCTGAAACCGTACAAGGCGAGTAGATGTGCATGCCTTTAATTAAATTTCAAATGAATCTCTACCCCCCAGGCAGGTCCTCGTTCTGCGACGTTTTACGATAGTTTCCTAAGAAACATTAAGCCGAGACTTTCTTCGACGAAACTGGAAATTATTTCAGAAAAAAACGGCACAAGAAATAAACGTTAATCCAGCTTGATCTGTGTTCTGTGTTCATCGCAGTCCCATTCAGTGCACCTGCTAGTACGAGTTGTATGTAGTTAAGAAATATAAAAGTAATGTAGAAGCACGAGTGGAAAGCACGTGGAATGATTTATCTAGCTATCTACCGAAACTGCTGGTTACTTATATGCTAACGTTTACCGATGCTTACGGCCAACAACCTGTCCTACTACACAGGAGCAACTAGCACCATCCGAAATTTGCATTCATTCGAGCATTAAACATAGAAGCGAGAAAGAAAAAAAAAATGCACCTAACGAACTATTATGATTTCGGTTAATGAACTTCTCTCTACAACCCCGGGGAGCAAGCCAATTTTAGTGCACCAATTCCGCGGGACCAACGAAGCTATGCAATCGATACGGGGCTATTTGGATGCGTGTTAGCTAACTTAGACCGATAGGAAGAGCAAAATGCCTAAATTGTAATGCTTCAAGGTCCGGCTTCCGGCGTTTAAGGGGAATTGAAGGAGTTTGGGGAACGAACTACTACATAATACTAGTTGGATTTGGTTACAATATAGCTTAATTATGTCTAATTATAAAATATGTATGCCTCTATTTAGCACCCGAGCAGTTAGCAGGTTGTTTGATTTAGTGTTCAAAGTTCAAACAGCAGGCAAACCACGCCGGGAAGTAATTCCCATGCTCCTAAATGGCGCATTGTGTAAGCTTAAGTTCTAGGAGAGATACGTGATCTTATACTCTAACCATGAAATAAAGTGTAACAGTAGAACAAATCAGCGGGACGGATAATAAAATTTGGTTCCAGACAATTACAGAAAAACGAAATCACAAAACAGAATAAATAAGAACTACCACGAACGGAAACAAAACAAAATGAAAAACGATAACTAAAACGTAACAAAACAAAACTATAAACACTAACAGTGTTTGCTTAAAATGTTAGCAAAAATCGATTGCAACTAGATTTGATCACTAAAAAAAACAAGGCAATATGCTGGACTCAAACGAACAAATTAAACGCGAGCAGACGAACAATATTTAGCATATTATGGAAAATTTGACTTGTGTAAAAACTGTGTTGTAGTGTATCATGTGTCTGGACGTAGCTTTGTTTCAGTTATTCTTATCCGAAAAGAAAAAAAACTAATCGAAAAAGGGCAAGGCAAGGCATTATTTGTGTTTTCAGTTTTCGACCGATCGACCGTCGGTCGCTCAGGGAAGTCATATATCGTAAGTATCATCGGGTGTACTGACCTCTTGGAGCACGTCCTGCGCGGCGATGGCTTTGAGAACGTTCTTCTTGGACGTTTCCTGGATTTCGCCACCCACCAGCAGCTCGTCCAGGATGAAGTAGGCCTTCTCGAAGTTGAAGATGATGTCCAGCTCGCATACCTTCAATTCCAAAAACCATTAGATTACACCTACAAGCGTCCATCACCAATCTACTTACACTTCCAAAGTACTTATCCAGCAGTTCCACGTATCTGTGAATGATCTCCAAGGTTAGCAGTTCGTTATCGTTCTGTTCGATTGCACAGCAAAAGTATAAACTGGCATATCTGAAAAAAAAAAGAAAACGTCCCAACATCTGTAACAAATCGTCCTGCATGCCATTTCTCGAACCCGCACCTCTTGTAAACAATTTTGCAATCTTTCCACTCGAGGAACGAGCACATCTTCGGCTTCCGGGACAGGATGGTCGTGATCAGCTCCCGGGTGATCTTCTTCTTCACCTTGTCCGGGTGGGCGACGTACCACTTCTGCAGTCGCAGTTTGCCTTGTCGGCTGAAGAGCAGCATAAATTGCATCTGTTTGGGATTGGATATTGGATTACATTAGGAGGAAAAAAAAACATCGCGGTAAAGGTTTATATCGGTGACGTCATAGTTTTACCCTAACATCCCCTACAAGGTGTGCGAATCATATCTGCTGATTAGCGCTGCATCGTAGTAATATTCTTTTTCCAGCACAATACCCCTAATTTCCGGAAAATAGTATAATCCAAATGTGAAACACACTTTACTTACCATACGGGCACTATTTAAAACGGGTAAAATGCAGGAAAAACAGCAAAATTTCAAACAATCAACTCCGGAGAAAAATTTCTGGCTGCGCTCTACAAAAAAATATGTCACCCGTGTCGTGTTTCGTGTTGACGGACGGACGATTGTTAGCGGGTGGGCGTAAGTTGGTGGCTACCAGGGCTGGGCTTAAAGCTGCATGGTTCTCTATAGCAAGGTGATTACATATAGGTGTTCTAATGTGTCAAATTCATGATTCAGCCATGTTGGATTTTTGTATGGGACAGCGACCGAGTTTGTTTACAATTTGCACTAAAACCGCACTTCGCAATTTGCACTAAAACCGCACCGCCGCGACCTCCTCGCCTATATTGTGACAAAGCTGTATCACCAAGAAGTTGCCGCTAAACTTCCGAGCCGAGCAGACGCTTTTACCATAGAGGTAACTCTAAGACCACTGGGTCCCGAAGAAAATCATTATTATTTTTGGCTCACTCAGTACCAGAACAACGGTCCCAAGCAGTCCCAAGCTATTTCACTCACCCCTGCATGTTCTGCATGAATCCACACACCCCTGATGTTATCTGTCAAACTTTCATAGCGAATCAAAACAAACATAGTGTAGTAATAGAATTTCAACTAGAATAGGGTACGTTAATCGTTTGCTTGGGACCAATAGGCTACTAAAGTGGTGAGCCAATTTAAAATCGTTAGTTTCGTATTGATTGTTGCTTTTACCATAGAGGTAACTCTAAGACCACTGGGTCCCGAAGAAAATCATTATTATTTTTGGCTCACTCAGTACCAGAACAACGGTCCCAAGCAGTCCCAAGCAGTGGTGGCACGAGTCCTGGAGTTTAACATTTTTTCCTTAACATTTGATACATTTTGCGATAACCATTGTGACGACACACAAAAACAAACTGGCAAGCGGCAAAAATGTCATGACATTTCTAAACTATTTTCTGCCAGCGACAGAACATTTTCGCACAAAGAAGCAGACAAGACCGGCGGCGCGCGCGACATAAATTTATGTCGTGTAGAATTTTGCTGATTTCTGGCTAATTACTGCATTTATTTGATGTTTATTGCATGGAATTAAAAGATAAGAATGAAGACTGACCACTCATAAGCATAAATGTTAAAATTATGCGTAAATAAGGGAGTTGGTAATTTACTGTCACACGCAAGCCTGCAGCTGAAATTTCATTACAATAAACTGTTTGGAAAAATCAGGCTGCGAGATTTTATTTATTCTCTATCTCCGCTGTTCGCTTGGAATGTAGTTATAGACGGTCGCCCGTGTGCTGGCTGTTTTGTTTCGCTCTGGACGATGGTTTTTCAAAAAATGTACTGTTGCCACCTCTGGTCCCAAGCTATTTCACTCACCCCTGCATGTTCTGCATGAATCCACACACCCCTGATGTTATCTGTCAAACTTTCATAGCGAATCAAAACAAACATAGTGTAGTAATAGAATTTCAACTAGAATAGGGTACGTTAATCGTTTGCTTGGGACCAATACGCTACTAAAGTGGTGAGCCAATTTAAAATCGTTAGTTTCGTATTGATTGTTGATAAAACTGCACCACACGCGTTTTTCGACGCGTCTGTGGACAATATGAATTTTTTGTTGAAATCGGCAAATTTAAGTATTTGTGGTGATATCAATTTATCTTTGAGTTTTGAAAATGCATTTCCGCATTCATCACTCCAAGCAAATTTGGTATTTTTCTTTAGTAAAGCATTTAAGGGAGATGCGATTTCCGAAAAATATGGTATAAATCTTCGATAATAGTTGCAGAAGGCTACGAACCTTCTGACGTCATCGGCGTTTTTGGGTACACGCTAACATGAAAGTACCCATTAATGGTTGAAAAAGACCCATTTTGAAGAAAAGTGGCTTAACTCATTAAATGAGTAAATTTTTTACCCATTAATGAGTATCTGTTACCCATTAATGAGTAATTGTTAATCATTAATGGGTAACAGATACTCATTAATGGGTAAAATTGTTTAATCATTAATGAGTTAAGCCACTTTTCTTCAAAATGGGTCTTTTTTTACTCATTAATGAGTACTTTCAAGTTAGCGTGTATAGGATAATTCACTATAGTTTCGTATTTGGATTTATCAGGTAAAATTCCATATCGAGATACTTGATGTCCCAAAAAGGTAACATCTGTGCAGAAAAATTTACACTTCTCAAGATTAAGCTTGAGGTTAAAATGTTGAAGTTTCTTAAAAACGTTCTCCAAATTTTGTAGATGATGTTTTACAGAACATCCAACGACGATGATGTCGTCGATATAAAGAAAGGCACACTCAGGGGGTAGTCCACTGAGTGCAATGGTCATCATTCTTTGGAAACTGTTCGGAGAAATATTTAATCCGAACGGTAACCGATTGAACTCATAATGACCATTTGCTGTGGAGAAGGCGCTAAGCTTTTTAGAGCTCTCTTCTATCTCGATCTGGTGGAATCCAGACATCAGGTCGAGCGTCGAAAAATATTTGGCTCTACCAGTTGATCTAAAATATCATCAATTCTGGGTAGGGGAAATTTGTCGGCAACTATTTTCTTATTAAGTTGCCTGAAATCGACTACAAATCGCCATTTTTTATCAGTGGTCGATTTTTTTGACACTAATAAGATTGGGGAATTATATGGAGAGACTGAAGGTCAGATTATTTCATTTTTCAGCATGTTTTCTACCTGATTACTGATTTCATTTCTATGAATTTCTGGGATCCTGTAGTTTTTTATTTAAACAGGATTTGTATCATTCAAATTAATGGATTGTTTATAAAAATTATTGCAAGATAAAGTATCTCCTTTTAAAGCAAACACATCACTATACTTCAAACAAAGATCAGTAAGTTTATGTTTATAATCAGAGGGTATGTGCTCGGTTTTCAGTTCAGAGAGTAATTTTGTCGTCCGATTAACGGCGTTAGAAGTATCAAAAGAATAACAATCATAATTTTTCAAGGGTATAAGCATTTTTGTAAAATTTTTGTCGATCTTCACAAAATGTTCCGTGGTATTTATGAATTTAGCCAAATTGTTATTACTATTTATCAAAGTATTTGCGCAAAAGACTCCAGCACTAATTTCATTGGAAATTAATACCTGGTCTTCAAGTAATTCGTCAGTATGAATTTGTTTTATCATTTCACATGTGGTAGTACAAACTCACCATTTAAATTATCTTCAATTGGAATTTGTATTTCTTCAGAGTTAAAAACTCCTGATAGAAGCCATGTATCATAATTTATTACACAGCGAAATTTTGTAAAAAAATCTCGCCCTAAAATACCATCGGTAGGGATCGGGAAGGCAGAGTCAACCAATTGAAATGTATGGTCGACTGCTACTTCGTTCGTAAGGTAAATTTTGGTTAAAATGGAACCTAGTGTTTCTACTGGTAGGTTATTTATTCCTGTTATTGTGCATTTTTCATTTCCATTTACAAGTGGGTTATCAAGTTCAACTCTTTTGAATTTAAAAATTGACAGTTCAGCTCCAGAGTCTACTAATAAGGTACGCTCGGAGGTAGAAAGTCCAAGGTTAACTATTATGAAATTTGAGCAAGTTGTGTTGATACTGTAACAAGTTTTGTTTATCTTCTGTTGACCGTTTCACACTGGTGTACGTTCTGCTGTTGATTCGGTTGCAATTTCACGTTTTGCGGAATTTGATTCGCGGCTACTCCCCCAACAACAATTGGTTGGGGGACTGGACAGTTTTCCGCTTGAGTGTAAAACACGTTATGGACCTGTGGTTGTTAGAGAAATTTGAAGAATAGGAATGATTCCTCCCTCTGTTGTGATAATTTCCTCTGAAATTACCTCGATAATTGTGTCCTCTTTCGTTTCCTCTACGGTTTGAATTTGGGTAATAGTTACCATAGGAATGATTGAAATTATTGCTTGGGGCTGGTCTGTTTCTTGCAAAATTGGAACTTTGCGAATTATTCCTATAACCTGCTCGGCCACGTCCTATTGAATGGGCAGTTAAAACCTGAGATTGTTCAGGTTGTGCCTCATTTATTTTTTGAATTGCTTTTTGTATCGTATCAAATTCGTTAGCTCTTAGGATGATTTTTAATTCAGTATTGGATACACCATTTATTAATGTATCTACTCCGGCTTTGATAGCCATTTTATTAGCTACGTCCGGTGGAATTTGGTTGTCAATGTATAAAGTTGACAGTTTTTGTGAGAGTGATTCTATTTCATCACAAAACTTTTGCTGGTCTCCTTTATTTTTGGTTGCTTTCATTTTGGCCAGAATTGAATCTGGAGTTTCCACACTTTTGCATGCTTGTTTAACGGCATTAATAATTTCTGCAACCGTCTGGGGATTGGGTGGTAGAGCGGATCGTGCTTTACCGCTCAGCCTGGTTTTTATGAATTTAATAGCTGTGGCTGTGTGCTCTGGTGGGGTTAAGTCTGCGAGCAGACCAACAGAATCAATGAAGTATCCAGCCCAGTGGACGAGCCATCGTAATTTTGAATTAGCGCTGTTGCTGTTCTTATATCCAATGCCGCTGGGGCTGCGGGTGCCGGTGGTGTCATGGTTAATGTATTTGATTTTTGGTCTCTTTGTTTATTTTCTTCTAATTTTTGATTTAGAATTTGGCAAATCTCATGCCTTGCATCGCGGGAAGCTTTTATTAAAAATTGTAAATTACTAATAGGAATTTCTTCCTCGTATTCAATTAAATTATTTTCGATCTCTATATATAGTTCCCTTACATATTGTTGTTTGGCTATAAGAGTTTCTGTTCTAAAGTTTTTGTATTTTGATTTTTTTAAATTCTTTAAAATTTTAATTAGGTTGTGAACTTCTTGTTCTATAAGCTCAATCATTAAAATTGTATAAATTCTTAAGTTAATTTCCCAGCAAATTCCCCTTCTCCCACCATTTGTTCGAGAGCACCCCTCTAGTGAACAAATACATCGCCTGTTTTTGGAGCGGACGGAAACACCACGGGTCGAAAGGAAAAATCCTGGCCCGAACGAAACAGCTGTCATCGAGCCATCGGAGCAGCTTATACTTGCTCATAAATGAGAAGGCGGAGCACCGAAAAT